ATGCTCTTGACTGCAGATCGGAAATTGTCTAAAAATTCCGTAAAAGGGGTTTCCTGACATCATAACCTCCGATCAGTGACCTATAGCCCTGACCTAAATCCCATGGATGTCTCAGTGTGGTCAGTCTTTGAGATGAAGGCATCCGTTAGCCCAAGCAAAAAATGAAATAATCTCGGAAATGCCTCTGAAAAAACCGGGATCAACTCGATGACTTCAGCTGCGTGCCACCGTCAATGACGTCCATCGTCGTCTCTGGGGTAGGGTGAAAGCAGAAAGTAACAGATCCCAGTCTCAATGTACTATTTTGATAAGAGATTAGTGATAGACACTTTTATGAAATTGGTTTGCTTTTTTAGCTTTCTATTCGTTTTCGGGGATGTGATGTCTGTGTAATCTTAATTTTGGCCCACCCTGTACACATCGCCTCTGGGACGCAGCGTAAACTTTTCTTGTTTGGTCAGTGTGCAAGCCGTGCTAGAATGGAAAATAATAAAGTACAAAACCATTCCGGTCGTTATATTTCGTATGGATGTTGAACATTTCATTTTATGAGGCTTTGTATAGCCATTGACAGGATATCAATATTTGATATGCTGGGAAATCTTTCATTGCTCCTATCATACTGAAAGAGCGGGGTAAACTAGTTTCGAACTTGAGACTGGCTTGTTGGATTGGGGCCACTCCTGCTAGTGTACCCGCTGGAAGTAGCAGTGATGTAGTTTTCCTATCTAGACTTGCTTTTATCTACTTCCAATTTGAAAGTATTTCAGAACGTGCACATGAAAAGTACAGTCTGCGACTACTGAAAAGAATATCATGATGTGAACTTACAGTGGCCATTTGCCATTAGCAATACTCTAGAAAGGTCCTACATGGATGCACCGTTGAGCCGTGCTTCGCTTTGTGTTTCCCGCTCTTGTATGCTCTCACTTTGTCTTTACGCTCTCTAAGAGGCTTTTCACGGATAGTTTAGGGGGAAAGTTTAGGGGTAATGCGCTTTTAGGAAAAAATTCACATCAAACGAAACTCGAATTGTAAACAAAGAAAATAAGTGGATAAAAGAAATAAACCAAAAAAGTGAACATAAGAAAATAAGAGGCCGAAGATATCGTGATCAAGAGAAAATGGGTGATCAAGGAAGATAACATGAATATGGAAGGATGGAAAATATTGGGAATGTTTCTTTCCTTCGAAAACCACAAATCAGAACCTAAGTCCATTTGAGACCCTCTAGGCAAAGATTCCTCCATATTTTTCAACGCCAAGGTCATTTGATATCAAACGGTCTGAGAGAGTGTGCGTTGCATACTGGAAGGCGCCTTATACTCGGTCGCACCAGAAATTGCACTCGCCAAATCTACCATAAAGGCGTAGACCCAGGTATTATTATCATAATAGATATCCATTCTAATGAAATGGCATGGGTTAAGGGGCAAGCGACATACTCTAAGCGTCTTTGAATGGGGTCTCTGGGAATATTGAAATAAAGAGCTTATCGTATACACGGTGTAAAAAGGGCACACCTCTGATGGTCCGGATACCGAATTCCGATTCGTTTTGGCCAAGGCTGATCAAGCGTTCCCAGCCCCTGGTTGGGCCGGTCGAACTTGTCTAGAAGGATCGGCTGGCCACCGCTAGTCATGATCACATTCTTTCGGATGTCGGTACGCGTTCCCAAAACGCCCTTGATTAACGCAAAAAGTTTATTTTTATCCTTATGTCTAAGGGGGGATCAAACTATAATTACTCAGCTAGCCATGCAACAAACCGAACAGGATCGGTACCGATCCGTTGGTATCAATCCATATCATTGTAGCGAAGTTTTCATCATATCATCTCCACTTCTTTGCAGTGGTAGAGGTTCCTCACCGAGATCCGGTTTCACTGTAAGCCTTGCATATATGTAGCTTTGACAGATCTGGAATCATTCTTTTCGATTTTCATCTTTACAGAGCTGCGAATGAAAAAATAAGCTAATTTGTTCATCTGCCAAGGAAATCTGTCTGGGAAAACAAAGAGTAAAAACTCAAGAGACTGCCAAACACTACCGATACCCTTCCCTTGAAAAGTGGCTGCAGCCCACTGGCTGTGTTGTGATTGCAATCTTGTCATATTTTATTGTCGGCGTTCCACTTCAGACGCGGAAAATCCACTGTTTAACAATGGCAGAGATCAAATGAGCGAATATGTTTGTCTAATGCTCCTTTATACGTATGATTCTTGAGAAGGCCAGGTGCGTATGCTTAACGATAGCTTGCACAGCCACAAAGGCCGTAAGTCATTATTAATGTCGACTGACATCATGGTGTGGAATGTACATCCCCTAGAACCCATCATTGAGCGAATTCTGAAATCTCACGCCATTACGAGCATCCCCTACCTTTATGTAGCTGCTTTCTGCAGAAAAAAGTTCAGTTATTCTTAAAGGCACCGTTTACGATAAATTTAGGGTACCCTTTTTTGACGGGAATTCATAGAACTACTCTAGAATAGAGCGATAACAACGAAAAAAGCGCAAAAAACGATGAACAAAAAGAAATAGAAAGGGTCAAAAAAGAGCTGGAAAGGGGGGTTGGACGAGTTTCACATTGGAAGAACGGCGGTTAAGGGNATGTGCAGATCTCCGAGACCATTTTTTCGTGAACAGTGCCTTTAATTGTTCAGTATCGCTGCAATTCCATATCAATTGCTACCAGTTTATTTGAATTACCGTAGCGGTACTGACATTCATGTTATTATCTATGCTGTATAAGGGCTATCAGTGATATCACACCATTCTGCTTTTTGAGCTTCCCATTCAGTTTCGAGATCTTGCTTTGCATTTCGAACATCATAACGTTTCATTGGTAGGGAGGATCATGGACGGAAAGACGTGCTGGCAAACACACACAGCGGCATAGACAGGCCCATCAACGAACCTACACAAGTTACCCAGTTACTGTTATCAGTCAAGTTAGAAGATGGTTCACTGTTTATGTGAAGGAGGTTGCTTGGTGCATCCATTCCTTGCCACATTGAGGCCTAAGCTTTTTTTGATTCGTTTGATGCGCTCGTTATCGAGCTCCTCTTCGTCTCAGTGTTGAAAAGGCGACCGAATGTGAATGTAAAACACAGGGTTCTTTCTAACTCGAGCTCAGTCCATTATTACCTTTTTCTGGGTTTGCGGTTCCTGTGTTAGACGCAATATGTTTTTTTATTTACATATGCAAATTGAAGTAGCCAACAAAAGCTGGCTGTTTAAAGAGAAACGAGTCAATAGAGCGAGAGCAAATACGCTGGCTGTGGGTATAAAAAGCTTAATACTCTAGAGACCCGCAAAATGTTCAAGGCTTTCGTGTTAAGTTGCCTCATCATTCTCCATGTCTCCCAAGGTGAAGCATCAGGAGCGGATTCTGAAGAAGATCAGCTTACCCAGGTTTCTTCACTTTACTCCTATTCAACGAAATTCCAGCTATATGCTCTTCGAATGGAGAAATAAAACACAGGGCTCTTTATATCTCGCTTACATGGTCTTGTTTTAGTCCAAAGAAGGGATTGGCAGCATTGGAGAGCCCAGCGATGTTGGCTCAGTTATGATTGCTGGCGAGGTCTCGGTGGAGGATCCAGTCTCGCGCGAGGATGCATCAGATGATGCAGATGGTTCAGTTGTCCGATCAAAGCGGTATTACGGATGCGGTACGTTGCTAGAGGCTTGAAGGCTTGAAACTCGCTTCTTATAATAACTTTATTTAAGGATGCTTCAACTGTAGGTGCGGCACTATGATGCCTGCAACTTACGCACCATGTGGTGGATGCTGCGGCTGCGGTTACGGATAATTTCTTCCTGATGCGTTTGAAGAACTGTCTGTAAAAAAGTGTGAGGCGTTATAGTGTAGAATTTCCTAGATGAATAAATGTTGGACCAAAACCACTATTAATGGTGTTGAGCAGTATATCCTCTACAAGGGACTCAACCAAAAATAAGAACAACTCGATTTATCCCACGATAAAAAGGATTTGAGAGGGAGGTACGTAGCAGAGCATCTCTACAACTGCATTTATTACCAATTGTTATTAGCCAAAGGTTGGCGTCTTCTACGAAGAGAATTTTCTGCAAAGATGACCATTGCACTGCGTAATCGCCATCGTTTAGGTAATTCCTACAACTAAGAAACACACAGTCACTCGTGTTTCCCACAAATATACATGAAATCGCTGGGCATAGGATTGGTGCAAAAAGATTGGTCACCCCTTGAAGAAATGTTAATATGTAGAAAGCGTTAATTTCAGTCATCAGGAGTGCAGGCACCCAAAATGCGTTTTTTAGAGTCACACAGTTGGTCGGGCTGGGAGGAGTTCACTACTCCGAACCACCTTCAGAGTGTTTAAAGCACAACACAATCGGATTCTTTCCTGAATCACTTCATCGAAATACTATATTTTCAAGGACGCTCGATATCTACTCCTCAGATTTAGCTTCCAACGACGTTATTTGGGCATGAAAGGTAGTATTCCAGTTGAAGGACCAATCAAGCATGCGTGAGGCTGATTTTTGACTTTTTCGAAGAGGAGATGAAAGAGGCGTGACGGCCTAATTTTAGGAAACCTCCAAGAACATAACAGTGCTGTTGCCAAGGTACGAAATCAAAAAGAAAGCGAAATGATGGGGAAGAAAAGTTTTCAAGGGAGACTTGAAGTTTCCCACAAGTTTACATCCGACCAAATCCCAAAAAATCCGGGGTGAAATTGTGGTAAGCGATGCGATAACTTGGCAATCTGCCTGTCTACCTGTCTTATTGAATGAACAAAATCAAAGAACAATGTTTGATTACCAAGGTATGACTGTTGACATGAAGGGGATAAGGAACCTATTCGCTCTAGGCCTTGCTCGTTCGTTGTCAGTCCTTGTTACAAATCACTTTCGGTCCCATCGTATCCCACACCACCTATTGAAGTGTTCTGCCGTTAATATGAAAGATGATGTAGACCTGACGACTATCTATGGCTTGTTATCTCTAACAGTTGTTATCAATCTTTATCACTGGACATCTACGGTCCCTCCTTAATCCGTATCCCTTACTGAAGTATCAATGCTTCACCGTTAATACAAAGGAGGTGGCGGATCATGCGGCTCTCGCCTTCTAAGGTGCTTTATCACCTGCTCTCCGCACCCCTACCAAGTTTGAACGCTCTAGGTCCACGGGGCGGGAGCTATGAATTCGCGGCCTAAAATCTCTATCGCGCAGGCCTCGCCCCCTGTAAGCGGAGTCCGGTCCTGCCACCAACCATAAGTGTTCCCATACTGCCCCCCGTACTCCTACTAAGTTCGAACGCTCTAGGTACACGGGAACAGGAGTTATAAATTTCCGGTCAGACACACACCCACACACACACACAAACACACACACACACACACACACAAACACACCGACAAACGAACAGACACCCTTAGCGAATTATATATAGTAGGATATACCTAAATATAAGTGTCCCATTAATCATCTACTTGCTCGAGGGTCTGCGAGAGTCTTTCATTCTTCCCTGTTGCAAGCCAGCGTACCCCGGTGGATCCTTCTCGCTTGATTGAGGGACACCAGGTACACCATATTTCTCGCCAGAGCTCTAAAGAAGTCTAATCTCGAACAGGCTTCCGTCCTAGTCTTCCTTCAACTCCCGAGGGTCGAGGTCGATAAACTTCCAGGTTCAAAGATTACCACAACATAAATATGTGAAATGAAAAGATCCGAGCATTCTCCTTTCCACAGCGCATTAAATAACGCTAACTGCATGCTCATACCGTTTTGTACGAATTCAAGCCTCTTGTATGTCTGGGTGCATGTTAGAGCTGGAAGAACCATAGCATCGAAAAGGAGATCTTCACTGCTCCCTAGATGTTTTCAAATGCTCCCCACGACGTGCCTTTCATTCGGTTCAGCTCCAGAGCTGGATCGTACATCAAAATGACTTCTCGACTTAGACACACATAGCTAAAGCATCTGGAGATATTCGATCGGTTCAACATAAAAGGAGCTTTAGGTACAAGCTTGTTCCTATAAACATCGTTTTTGTTGGAGTCAGTGTGCTGAGCTTTCCACAAGCTTGCCAACTACGATTAGCATTTGTTCCGCCTGCTCGGATTACGAGCACTATTTCGGCTGCAAACAGGAGGTGATGTAAGTAGCGGCCACCGATCTTCAGTTCTACGACGTCCCATTCCAAACACATGTTTGTGAGAGCAACACTGACAAGCTTTGACGAGATGGCATCGCCTTGAGGATCCTCTGTTTTCACGTCCACTATGACCGAGGTCTTCAAGTCATGTGGTGATCCCGGTCATAAAGCTGTTGTGGAGCTAACGAAACCAACCTGCTTATATGTCAACTAGGAGCACCTGGTCGCCCAAAGCTTGAATTACCGTCTCTGTCTCGACTGTATAGGAGATCTTCTTTGGACCGATGAACTTAAGGTAAACGGCATCCTTACTATCGCGACATTTCAGTGAGCTTCGTGACAGTGTGAATGTGATCGATCGTACTGGACCCTCTCTGAAGACATGCTTGCTCGCGATACCGATACGCACACGTCCTACATTCAATGTTCCATCGATCCTATTGAGTACGACTCGCATGAAGAGTCTCTAGACCATGGACGGCAAACAGAATGAGTGATAGTTGTCAATGTCGTTTAGGTCTTCATTCTTGCACTACAATGCGGTCTTATCAGATTTCAACGATGTGAGTACTTTGCATTTCGACAGGCACCGCTTGAAGTGCCGAGAGAGATTTTGGCGGTAACTGGAGTGAGATTTTCTTTTTGTTTTCGTTTTTTGTTCATATTGCTCTTGCTCTTGTTCTTCCTGTTCTTATCTTTCGAATATCATTCATACCCCAATCCTGCATGCTTACCATCATTCGTACCCCAATCCTGCATGCTTACCAGAATTAAACCCTCTTGGATCAAGGGGACAGGAGTTATACACATTTCTGATCGAACCCTCTTTTCCTGCACTTGCTGTCCAACGTTGGCGGAGTCCAACTCAATCATGTTCCTTTGAAAAGCTTTTCTCATCCCTTATTAAATCCATTTCGGCCAATCCATTCACGTGCTATCACCTACCTTCTGTGTTCATATTTCCTTTCCAGAGTGAAGCGTCTTAGGTCTGAGGAACAAATTTGATGAATTTCCCGTGAAACACACACCACACATCGACAGACCAGCAGGCACTCTCAACGTGTTATGTGCGAATGAAAACAGTACTACACCTCGCCTGCAAGACATCGCTAACTTGTTCCTCGATTTTCGAACATTTGTGAATCTGGATGTAGATTTTTGCTGCTTAGCCCACTTACTGTGGACGGCCGTGTACTCAGCTATGCTAGTACAAAAGTAAAGTGCAACAAAAGGCAGGCATAAAAAAGATTAATTAGCAGCTCATCAAAGGGACAAAAAAACTAGACAGACTTAAACTGTCTAGTTTCACCTCTTCACCAGACCGTCTTCCTCTGAGGCTCATCAATGGCTCGGGGTGAGGGGAACAAGAAATGGTTGAAGATATATTGTTCGAATTAGGGACAGGAATATATATGAATTTGCATTATTGGAAATGTTTGTTTCTGTTTCAGAACTCCATGAAGCGAATAGGTGATTTTATTTAAATTATTATTTAAAGGAAACTTGAAGCATGCGAGTTTACTTCTATATGTGCACCTAACTATACTAGTGAATACGAATTCCTCTTTGTATCCAATTCTCAATAGAATTCCCATCATTTCTTTCAACCTTGTGATAAGAGTTTCCATATTAGAAAATGTACTGGCAATTATCAACGCTCAATGCTTCCTTGTATATAAAAGAGGGTATCGGTATCAGAAATATCAGATCACAATGAGGAAATCTGTTGACGTTGAGGCTGGAATCATCAGTTTCGTTATATAGTTCGGTATTGTTCTTATCAGTAGTTGAATTAATACATTAATACTCAAGAATAAATGGTTATATTTCTCTCATTCAAATGTGTTTTTTGAGTACAATGGTATTTTTAAAACTTAATGGAAATTTCTATTCAGTATTTTATTCAGTCTGGTTGTGTACTATTAATAAATCGTCCATATGTCTGAATGGGATAAGTAGCTCATTTTTATCGAATCTTTGATCTTTCGAATAACCGTATCCAATTATTGAAAGGTTCAGAAAACTGAAGTTCTGTCCTTGTAGCACACCTTTAACCTTTTTATAAATATTATTAAAAGCACAAAAACAGTTGAATAATAAATAGACCTTATAAAAATTGAATTCATCGATCTTATAGTATCTATAGTTTTTTTGATACCTGTACTATCTGAATAAGAAACGTGATACCCATTTGCTGCTATCATAGCCTTGTTAGCATTACTGAAGTGAATTTTAAGTAGACTCAGCATATTATTTATAAACAGGTCTGTAAACATGCCAATAAAGTCAGCAGTATCACAGGATCGTCACAGGTAAAAAAAAAACTAAGCTCATGACTGATATTTTTAGCACAAATAGACCACTATATTATAATAGTTCTGTTTCTAATTTGTATTACTGTAGACTACCCTATTCTTTGTAATTGATGAAGTGTTCCTTTATAAACTTAAAATAATGTTTGGCTTTGAGCTAAATTTTTAATGCTGCTATCATGAGCACCAGTGATAAATATAAATTTGACAAGATCAGTATGTCACTTCGGGAGCGCATAAATAATGGGAAGGTCCGCCTCCAGAGCCACATTAAGCTTATTACAACACAGAGGAATTTGTATTTCAGTAACAGTGTGTTTATTATTGTATTGAACATGTCCGTAAGTGTTATTA